TATATATATATATATTTTCTCCTCCTTAATCCTCTTATTTTTCTTTTTGTTTATTGATATTGTTTACAAGGGATCAACCCCCACTGAACTAATAAGAGCTAATATTATTTTTTTATTAAAGCCAGAAAAATTGTCCTATATCGCTTCTAAATGTAGATGTGAAATTATACTCATCTATATTGTAAAACAGTCCATAATTCATACTATTATCTACAATGATCAGAACATGATGATGGAACATCTGCATTTAATACAAGAATGTTTTTTTTTTCTATAATCTCATCAGCCTTTGATTTTAATTGTCGCTTGCTGACTCTGTCGATAGACGCGGAGAAGGCTTTTGACAAGTTGAGCTGGGATTCTATGGCCAAGTCTTTGTCAACATTTTGAATAGAAGACTGGTTGAATCAAGCGATTATGGCCTTATGTTACATAGTTACATAGCTGAAAAGAGACTTGCGTCCATCAAGTTCAGCCTTCCTCACAAATGTTGTTGCTGTTGATCCAAAAGAAGGCAAAAAACCTGGTCTGAAGCACTTCCAATTTTGCCACAAACTAGGAAAAAATTCCTTCTTGACCCCAAAATAGCAGTCAGATGTCTCCTTGGATCAAGCAGCTATTACCCCACTAATTAGAAATTATATCCCTGTATGTTATGTTTTTGTAAGTATTTATCCAATTTCAGTTTAAACATCTGTATGGACTCTGACAAAACCACCTCTTCAGGCAGAGGATTCCATATCCTTATTGTTCTTACTGTAAAAAAACCTTTTCTTTGCCTTAGATGAAATCTCCTTTCTTCCAGCCTAAATGTGTGACCTCGTGTCCTATGTATAACCCTGTTTATGAATAGATTTCCAGATAAAGGTTTGTACTGGCCCCGAATATATTTGTATAAAGTTATCATATCCCCTCTCAGGCGCCGTTTTTCCAAACTAAACAGATTTAATTTTTTTAACCTTTCTTCATAACTAAAATGCTCCATTCCTTTTATCAATTTTGTAGCTCGTCTCTGGACCCTCTCCAGTGCCATGATATCCATCTTTAGAACAGGCGCCCAAAATTGCACAGCATATTCAAGGTGTGGTCTTACCAGCGATTTATAAAGAGGCAAAATTATATTTTCATCCCGAGAATTTATGCCCCTATTTATACATGACAAAATCTTACTGGCGTTAGCAACTGCAGATTGACATTGCATATTGCTGCCTAATTTGTTGTCTATAACAACTCCCAAATCCTTCTCGTGTGTGGTTATCCCTAATTCACTACGATTTAGTGTGTAAGTTGCTTGTGCATTTTTAACCCCGAAGTGCATAACTTTGCATTTCTCTATGTTAAATTTCATCTGCCATTTTAGTGCCCAGTCCCCCAATCTATCCAAATCTCTCTGCAGCAAAGCAATATCCTGCTCACATTTTATTACTTTACAAAGTTTTGTGTCATCTGCAAACACTAATACATGGCTTTCAATGCCTATTTCAAGATCATTTATAAATATGTTAAATAGAAGTGGTCCCAAAACAGAACCCTGAGGGACACCACTTACCACTTTTGTCCAGCCTGAAAATGTACCATTAATTACAACTCGTTGTACTCTGTCCTTAAGCCAATGTTCTACCCAAGAACAGGAATATTCATCTAGACCAATTTCTTTTAGTTTGAAGACTAACCTATTGTGAGGAACCGTATCAAATGCCTTGGCAAAGTCCAAGTAGATCACATCCACTGCAACACCCTGATCTATACTTCTACTTACTTCTTCGTAGAATGCAATTAGGTTAGTTTGACATGACCTATGTTTCATAAAACCATGCTGATTATTGCTAATAACAAAGTTCTTCCCAATGAATTCCTGAATATTATCCCTTAATAGCCCTTCAAATATTTTCCCAGTTACAGAAGTTAAGCTCACAGGTCTATAATTTCCAGGCAAGGATTTTGAACCCTTTTTAAATATAGGAACAACATCTGCCTTCCTCCAATCCTCCGGTACAACACCTGAAACAAAAGAATCTTGAAAAATTAAATACAGAGGTTCACTTATTTCCCCACTTAGCTCCTTAAGTACTCGTGGGTGAATACCGTCAGGCCCCAGAGCTTTATTTACATTAATTTTCTTTAATAGCTGTAGTACCTTGTCTCGAGTTATCCAATCACAAGTTATTTGCAAGTTTTTTGCAGCAAACATTTGCATATCTCTTGCCATAGGATCCTCATTAATATATACTGAAGAAAAATAGTTATTTAAAATTTCTGCTTTTTCCTGGTCTTCATTAGCTAATAAACCCAACTCTGTTTCAAGTGTACCTACACTTTCATTTTTTGTTTTTTTAGAATTGATGTACTTGAAAAAAATTTTGGGGTTGGTTTTGCATTCTTTAGCTATCAATTTCTCATTTTCTAGTTTAGCCACTTTAATTGCCTTTTTGCAAGTGTTATTGGCTTCCTTATATCTTTAAATGCCCTTTTCTTATTTTTAATCTCTTGTTTTACTTCACTACTAAGTCACATTGGTTTTAATTTGTTTCTTTTATATTTATTACCCAATGGTACATACTGAGAAATGTACCTTTCTAATATATGTTTGAATAGTTTCCATTTATCCTAAGGGTTTTTATCACTAAGGAGTTTATGCCAGTCGATATGTTGTAGAGCTGCTCTAATCTTATTGAAATTGGCTTTTTTTAAATTACATGTTTTAGTATACCCCACCTGCTTTTTCTTTTTTGAGTTTATTTCAAAATTTACCATATTGTGATCACTATTCCCCAAATGCTCCCCTACTTGAATGTTGGTTAAAAGATCAACTTTGTTTGTTATGACAAGATCCAGACAAGCATCCTTTCTAGTTGATGCTTGTACCAGTTGTGACATAGAGGTGTCATTTAACACATTCAAAAACCTGATTCCCCTTGCTGAAGTACTAGTCCCTCTTTCCCAATTTATGTCTGGATAATTAAAATCTCCAATAATTAACGTGTTACCTCGATTTGCAGCTTTCTCAATTTGCTCTAACAGCTGTTCTTCCTCATTAATATTTACATTAGGTGGTTTATAACATATCCCAACCAATAATTGATTTCCCTTTGTTTGCCCCAAGCAGATATCTACCCATAAAGCCTCCACCTTTTCCTCGTCACACTCCACATGCCTAAGATTTGACTTTAACTCATGGTTGACATATAAACATACCCCACCACCCTTCTTGTTTTTCCTATCCTTCCTAAATAACGTGTACCCATTTAAATTAACTGCCCAGTCATGTGTCTCATCCCACCATGTTTCTGTTATGCCTATTATATCATATTGTTTATTGTATGCTATTGCCTCTAGTTCCCCCATTTTGTTATATAGGCTCCTTGCATTAGTAAGCATACATTTAATATTATCATGAGTCTTTTGTACTTTTTGTGAATTATCATATTACATACCTCCTCTGTTCTGAGTTTTCCCCTCCCCCCATGTCCACCCCCTTTGTTCTGAGCTAAAGCCCATCTCCTTTCCATCCTATCTCCATTTTCTAGATTGCTTTGACCCTCCCCCCCTACCACTAGTTTAAAATCTCCTCCAACCTTCTAACCATCCTATCCCCCAGCACAGCAGACCCTCTTCCGTTTAGGTGCAATCCATCATGACTATACAGGTTGTACCCAAGCGCAAAATCGGCCCAGTGCTCTAAAAACCCAAAACCCTCTTTCCTGCACCAAGACTTTAGCCACGCATTGACCTCTCTAATCTCCCGCTGCCTTTCTGCTGTAGCGCGCGGCACAGGTAATATTTCTGAAAAAATTACCTTGGAGGTCCTTTTCTTAAGCTTACTTCCTAGTTCCCTGAACTCATTCCTTAGGACCTTCCATTTTCCTCTGACTTTGTCATTGGTACCAATATGGACCATGACAGCTGGGTCATCTCCAGCCCCTCCCAATAATCCCTCCACTCTGTCGGCAACATACCGGACCCGAGCACCCGGGAGACAGCAAACTGTCCGGTTGAGTCGATCAGAGTGGCAGATTACCCTATCTACTCTCTTAATAATAGAGTCCCCTACCACCACAACCTGTCTAGACTTCCTTACCCTCTCAACCCCACCCGTACTAGAGGGGCTGTTTCCACGGCTGTTAGCAGGAACAGCTTCCTGCAGTACAGCTACTCCTGAGCTGATGCTCCCAACATCTTCACTCAAACGGGCAAATCTGTTAGGCTGCATGAGATCAGGACTAGCTAAACCTTTTCTCTTCCCTCCCCCCCTGCTTCCTCGCCCTGCTGTCACCCAGCTACGTGCCTGTTCCCCGTCTGTCTTATCTCCTCCCTCTCCACTACCTGTCCCCAATAAACTTTGCTCAGTGAGCAGCAGACTCCTCTCAAGATTGTCAATGTAATTTGTAATGTTTCAAATGCGAGAATAGTTAGCCCAAATATTTGCTCTCATTAAAAAAATGGGACTCATCAGGGTTGTCCCTTGTCCAATTCCTCTATATTCTTACAATAAAAAAATACTGGCCTTCAGTATATAAGAATAAACACAATATTAAAGGATTTAAAGTTGACCAGCAAGAATGAAAAATCTGCTTATATGCTGATAATATATTAATCACACTGGAAGACCCTATAACGTCTCTAGGATCCCTCATGAACCGAATTGAAGAATACAGTAGGATAGCGAATTATTAGGCTAATATTAATAATCAACGATATTATATATAAATATTGAAGGGGAGGGGGGCGGAGCCAGCTGCCATACTGTCCGGATGCATCCCGAGAACCCAGAGAACTAAGCCCAAATACTTTCCTTACCAGAACGGCAATCGATTGACAGGAATGCAGAATCGCTTCCTTTAATGATGGGGTGGAAAAACAAAAAATATAAAGCGGATAAAATCCTGGTAACCGCTGATATTGGTGAAATGCTGCGAAGGCCGCAGGGAGCCATGAAACCTGTCATGACGCCTTTATCTGATGGGCTGTCTTACCCATAAAGCGAATTATCCCTTCCAGACATGGAGGAGCTGGACATGATAGTTAGAAGACCAAGAGCAGACATACCTGCAAAGTGGACAGAGGGCTCACCGGTGATGGAAGGTGCTCTGAAGGTCCTTCTAGACGACCTCCGTTGCAATGTAGCAGCTGACATTAACTCCTTCAAGGAAGAGATAAGTGGAGTGTCAAGGTGCTTACACGACACAGAAGTAACCGCTTCAGCCCACCATGCCCACATTACTAGCATAGAACCCGAGATAGGTGCAATAGCCAAGGCCAAGACGCAGAACCTCAAGGCGGCAATGGTGGAGGTGGAAGAACATAAAAATAGGGGGCATACCTGAACAGATCAGGCCGGCCAAAATCCCTCACTTAATAAGGAGACTACTCACTCACCTCTTATCTGCTAAAAAAGACAAACTGATGGCCCTGTATGGCTGGTTCAGGCTTCCAGCACCTCCATCATGTTCCACCGAGGTGAATAAGGATGTCAATGTCCGGTTTCAAAACGGGCCATATAGGCAGGGGTTTCTAAATGTGCTCCGGAATAAGTCGCCATACCACCTCGAAGGGCACACTCTAATGTTCTATCTAGACCAATCCAGAGCAACACTCAATTGGCGCAGATCCCTGAGACCGCTGGCAGCAGAGCTGATAAGAAACAACGTGCCTTACAAATGGGACAACCCAAAATGCCTGCTATTACCTCGAGATACTGGGAATCTGAAAGTCCAAGAGATCTTGGACATTACAAACACCCTACAGCAACTGATGCTGACCACATCACATAGAGGTACACTGCCTGCAACCCAAGAGCCCCAAAGTCCACTTGGGATCCAGTTAAGGTTCACCCATTCGTGGCAATTCTGCATTGGCAGCTATCTCCTGAACAACTGATTAACTCTCTGAATTATAAAGGCTATAGTTCAGTTTTGCTTCTGAATGTTTGTCTCACAGTTCATATAATGTTTTAAAACTATATTTGCTTGTTTGTTTGTTTTTTAAATTAGATTTCTGCACAGGAAAAGTAAAGAGAGTCAACATTTTCACAAAAATACTGGTTTAGAATTTAGAAATGATACAGTATACTGTATATCAAGTGCAAAATAAACATAGTGAAAATAAATATTTGGATAAATTCACACATTTGTTTTACCTAGTCTTTAAAGCTCATTACGTTCATTAAAAATGCTAATATATTGGGGGAGGATATAAATCATTTACTGACTCATGCAAACAATCTAAAGAGAGGATCCTACAACTGAAAATACAATTTATTTCAAGTAAAAAATACAATGAGGTTAATTTACAAAAAACAAGTTAAGCGCCAAGCCAACAACTTTTAGACCAAAATAACTGGTATAACGTCATGGTGTTGATGAAATATTACCAACACAGCCCTAAATTTTGCTCATTGACTGCTAATTTAGAATGACACAGTGTTTACTAAATAGACCTAGGATGATATTGTTTTCCATTAAGGGACACTCCAGACCCCAAACGTATTTATTTGCCAATAATAGCAATTTTTTTTTCTTCTCTTTTTTTTTAGGTCTATTAGTACATTAACAGGTGAGGGATCCACCTAGGATATCTTATCCCCACTCGTATGGGATATCAGGACTGTAAATTAGTTATAAATAATCATTGTACCTACCATGAACTTGTGCTTGGTGTATGTTATATGAGATGGCCAGTGGTTGTAAATATTGTGTATATATTTTCTCGATGTGTATAATATATCAATTTAGGATAAGGTCACCAATTAACTGGAGCAACTTTTTGAATGACACTGGGTTATTAATCAATAAATTAATTTTGTCGCAAACTCAGTTATGAATTTTTCCTTAGCATGCATAATTAATGCATAGAGTACGGTATTCATGTTCAAATTTTTGTATATATTATGAGGTTACATAGGGGTTGACCTTGAATACCTGCAACCACGTGTGATTGAGTGCCAACACAATTTGTATTTTTTTTTTTCCAAACTTATTTTAGCTTGCTGAAATACTTTGTGTGTAAAGAGCATGTCCTTTATATTTTTCATTTTACAAAAAGTACAGATTTCAATAGAAATGGGCACTTTTCTAAATTAACCTTGTTACACTCCCTAGCTGTTAGTCAAACGTCTCTCTGTTACTCCCCGGTTTGTTTAGCTCACTGGAGATAAACTCAATAGGCAGGCATTTTCCCTGAGCACCTGGTTTGCAAAGTCTTCTTGTTGAGCTGCATTGGGAAGACTGTGATTTGACAGCCATAGAAAGTCTGAGCTGGGTAAAAAGGGGAGGGCTTGCAAAAGCTGAAGACAAGTGATCTACAACGTTAGCAAGCTGTTAAATGCATTATGTTTTCATTGGGATCACATCTACTAGACAGTGATTTTTACGTTTTATTTGTAATTAGGCAGTGGCATGTTTCATTAATAAATATTTGGAGTAATTATATAAAACTGCCTCAATTTTAAGAAAAAAAAAGGTTTATATTCCTATTTCTATAAAATAAATAAGACATGCTATCATAATTATTAAACTATGTTTTTTTTATCTATCATTTTTGCATAGTTTGAAGAAAAATGGTAATTCTGTATATTTCTCGTATTTCAGAATGTAGGTGATTATGGAAAATGTTTATATTTGTCTAGCAGATTTTACGTTCTCTTCATACTATGACAATCCACTACATCATTCAACAATGCTGAACCATTTAATTCCTCATTAGAAATAAAGCAAACTAATTTACATTAAACTGTGTTGTCATTATTCAAGAAACACAAATGTAATTCATATCAATTTACTGACTACCAATAGGAGCAAACTCCGTTTGTATCCAATTAGTGGCAGCACACGCATTTACTGACCTTTGGATTATAAACTCCCGATCGTGAAAAGGATGAGTTAAGATTATTATTTGTTTTTTTTTTTATCGTAAAGTAAACAAAGAAAGGAACGTTGCAAGAATTATTTGCTAAACTTTTTATGTATTAAATAGTTCATGAAACAAAAAGACCCCCCCCCACCAAATTATGAAAAGTAGGCTAATCACAGGAAATCCACAGGATCAATATCTTCTATAGTGAAGACCTCTTTTACATAGGTGAAAACCAAAGGGCAGAGTACCGAATATTTGATACTGTCCTAACCCAACATCTGAGGAAAGGAATTAAGGAGTAATTATTTCAGATGATTTTCTATTTGGGGAAAGTGAAAAATTCTCTGTGACTGTGCAACGTAGTTCAGATAGATGATGAACTTGTGAGTTTGATTCTAAACAACCTACACTATTGAATGCTGATTTCAACGACACTAAAAAAATGTAATAGAGCAGCAGGAAATGCTAGCAGAATGCTTGGTTGTATAGGGAGAGGTATTAGCAGTAGAAAGAGGGAAGTGCTCATGCCATCGTACAGAACACTGGTGAGACCTCACTTGGAGTATTGTACGCAGTACTGGAGACCGTATCTCCAGAAGGATATTGATAATTTAGAGAGAGTTCAGAGAAGGGCTACTAAACTGGTTCATGGATTGCAGGATGAAACTTACCAGGAAAGGTTAAAGGATCTTAACATGTATAGCTTGGAGGAAAGACGAGACAGGGGGGATATGATAGAAACATTTAAATACATAAAGGGAATCAACACAGTACCATAACAAGATGACATAGTCTTAAATTAGAGGGGCAAAGGTTAAAAATAATTTCAAAAAGTATTACTTTACAAAGAGGGTAGTGGATGCATGGAATAGCCTTCCAGCTGAAGTGGTAGAGGGAGTTTAAGCATACATGGGAAAGGCATAAGGCTATATTAGACTTAAGATAAGGCCAGGGACTAAAGAAAGTATTTAGAATTGGGCAGGCTAGATTGGCCTGTCACTATACCCTATGCACTTTTCCAGCATTCCAAGGGATAGGACACTGATTGGTTAGATCAGTATCCCCTCTGTAGTGTAGTAAGAAAGGATACATTTACATAATTATGCTCTGCCCCTTCCATGACATGCTTGCCCACTAATAAAACAAACTTTCAAGACACACTCATGCAGAGTCACACAGACAATCTTATATAGACAGAAACTGCAAACTGAGTGATAAAGGGCAGATATCAAATAACAGTAAAACCCTTATGAAGTTACCGAGATTGTTTTCTACAGAGCACATAAAATGTACCACCAGTCATTATAAAGTCACATACTATGAATCATAAGAAGATACATCTACTATGTGGATTACATTGATAAGTTGTTTTTTGTTTGTTTTTTAAATGTTTTTACTTAATTTTACTTTCAAATACATGCTGCCATCTGATTCATCTCTTTAATGTCTTTTTCTAAATAAATGATCCCACATTGCTGCTAAAATAAGGCTTGACTCATTTCTATGATGTGTCAGACTGCTTATGGTTTTCCAATATTTACCTAAATTAACACAATAATGAAAACAGAAAGCCTGATTTATTTAATTAGCACCTTAATTATATAATTTGAAACTAAATTTTTTAGCATCTTAGCAACAAAACATCAAGTGGTATTAATTAGTTCTTCAATATTAACAACAATACATCTTTCTCAGACTGTAAATGTTGCAGTGCAGGGACTTTCAATATAAATTCAATAATGCGTATTTTGTCCCCATTAAATATTTTTATAATAATTGCACTTTTTATACTTTATTTAGAACAAAGGATATGTTCAAATACGTTCAATAAAAAAATTCAAGAAATCGGATCATTGTTGATATCACAGTTCTCACTCTACGAATATATCTGTAAAAACACAATGATGGATATCAAATATCAGCAAATAATACAGAATTAATGCTGGAAGAAAAAAAAGAGGGAACAAGAAGAAGATGGAAAAATAAAGAAAAATGCTCAAAGATGGAATTGGAAGACTTATTCAAAAATTTTCTAGTAAATCAAACCATCCTTTTGTCAAGGCAGTCAAACCAAAATTGGAAATATTCCATTAATAGAAAAACTGATTCCAAGACTCAATCTAAAAGGTCAGCTATTGCTACTTTTCCACCGGCGTCCTAAGTGGATGAGTTCAATAAATGAGGATATATTTCACCATATATCCACTACCAGACACTTGGTGTTTCGTCCCTGAGACAAACGGAAATACATGCCTCCCATCTATCCCGATTATGGCAGGACAGTCTCATTTTCCGTATTCTGCCCTGAGGTCCTGACTTTGTTCACTGGTGTCCCGTGTATGGGGACACCAGGAAGCTCAACCCCAAAAAGGACCCTGCTGGCTGTATGGAAACAGTGTTACCTGCAAGTCCTGCCCTCAATGGAATAGCCTGCTTGATTGGAAGGCAGTTTGGTGTGCATTGGGTCAAACTG